TGTTTGGTTTTCTTGTATCTAGTTTGCTTTAAGGGTTTTATGTCTGCTTGTAGATCTTCTTTAATGAGTTCTTTGAGTCTATAATCTAGTACACCACACTCTTTTTCTAATAATACATCTTTGGCAGTTTCTAGATAGTCTTTTGAGCTATGTACCAACTCTTCTTGATTTTTAAGAGTTCTCTTTCAAGAGTTGTCTTGAGATTCTATTTCTATATTGCACATTGAGTTTTTAGTTTCAATAAATGGTAAAGTCGAAGTAGTTTCTATAGGAAGCAATTCTATTTTGACTTCACTTCTATTAGGCAATGGCATATCTTTTCTGTGTCGATGCTAGTTGTTTTGGAGGGTTTAGTTGGGTGTACAATTAGATCTTCTACAAGAGAAGGTTCGATTTTTATTTCAATATTGCTTTTCTAGAAGTAAATACTATTTGTGACATCTATTTGCATTGTATTGATGTTTGTGTATTTTAACAGGAGATTTTCTTCTTTTTCTAGAGTTTGTTCTCTTGTTAGTTTGTATTGAGCATAGTCGAAGTGTTGTAAGACGTTGCGTATAATTGTGATAAGATAAGTTTCGCTAGTGCCCAGATATTTTGCAACTTTTCTATCTTGTTCAAATATAAATTTCTTTTGCTTTTCTTGTACTGCTGCCCTTTTGGTTTCTGTTTTATTGAAAAAATTTTTATAAATAATAAGTTTCGGCATTTTACGCGTACTGTTTTGTTGTTCGTAAATACACATAGTTGTTTGTTTTGTTGGTTGTTTGTCTACCGATCCTGGTTTGTTTGTTTGTTCACCTAAAGTGGACGTGTTTGTTTATTTTGTTTGAATATGATCTGCAGTACAGGGCTAGTGGCTCATAGGAGGACATTCGTCTGATTAGCTGATGTAAATCAATTGACTGGGAACTTATTTATACAGTTTAAAGTACTTTTTGAAAACGTAATATTTCACTACAGCACTAATAAAAAATTACTGTAAAAGCCATATTTCGTTTCATAAGAACATTTATATTCACCATGCAAAAATAATCAAAAATAATCAGTAACTACAAGAACTTTACTTAGAAGCGAATATTTTACTATTTATTATAGTATTAGTCATATTAACTGTATATGTAAGTTCTAAATGCTAGAAACGGTCAACAAAAAAA